TAGCAAATTGCCACAAACTTAGTGGCTTAAAGCAGCACATTCATTTTCTTACAGACCTAGAGGTCAGACGTCCAAACGCGGTCTCTGCACTAAATCCAGGTGTGGCCCGGGGGCGCCAGGGGGGCGCCTGTCTTCTTGCCATTTGCAATTTCTAAGGTGGCTTCACCCCTGGCTCGGGGCCCGCCTGCGTCTCCACAGCCAGCAACGTGTGTCTTCTCTCGCCCCTGACCTCTGCCTCCTCTTGTAAAGGGTCTCGTGCTGACACCGGGCCACCCCGGCAATCCAGGACCATCTCCCCGTCACAGGGTCATCGTGAGCCACGTCTGCACAGTCCCCTTTGCCATGTAGGGCAGCATATTCACAGGTTCCAGGGATGTGGACCTCTTTGGGGCCATTACTCAGCCTGTGACCGGGACCGATTTCACATTCTCACTCGTGGATATCACTTACCCACCCGCTCCCTGAGCAGACCACCCCACATCACGTGTCCTTGTTTGGGTGCTTTCTGGCCTCACCCCAGGGAGAATGGGCCCTGGCGAGTGGGGGCAGCGCTCAGCGATTCTCCCCACCGGGGCCCGGCGCCCGCCTGGGCAGGGCTGCAGCCGAGTATCGCTCGTCAGCTTGTCAGCCTTTCCTCAAGGACCACACTGTTCTGGTTCTTGTGGCTTCATCGTCAGTCTTGAGGTCAGATCATGTAAATCCTCCATCTTTTTGTGCCTTTTTCAAGATGGCTTTAAATAGTCTAGGTCCTTTACATATCTGTATAAAATTTAGGGTAAATTTTTCAGCTAAAAAAAAAAGAGTCTGCTGAGATTATGGTTTTATGTCTTTGTAAATAGCTGTTTTGTTTTCTAGTGCTTTCCCGCTTCCGTACAAAGTATCACCGAGTTTTGTGTATTGGCCTTGCAACCTCCCTGATTAACTCCCTTACCAGCCCTCCTCCTGTCTGTGCACCCCACTGCATTTCTCAGGTGATGTCACCTGCAACAGATGTACGTACTTCATCCTCGCTCAGGGCACCTTTGCTTCCTGGCTGCCTTGTGACAGTGCTGGGACCTCCCAGACAGTGTGTAAGGAGTGGGGACAAGCACAGCCCTGAATTGTCCTGACCTCAGGGGAGCATTCAACACCTTCTCGTCAGGCAGGACGCCGGCTGACGGTTCTCACCGAGGCCTCGCAGATGGCGGAGACCTGTGTCCTGGTTTGCTGAGATCTCGGCAGTGATGGCCGTGTGTTCAAAGGCTTTCCCTGCGTCTGTGGAATGATCACGTGGTTTCTCCTTATCACGTTTATATGATAAAGTGACCGACTGTTACAAACACCACACTGCGCATTTCTATGATGATCTTACTGGTCCGAGGTTTTATCGTCTTCATGAAGTCCTGAGTTTCATTTGATAAGACATTGTCACAGATGTCGTGCCTGCGTCCCCGAGGGAATCGCCAGGGAATTCACTTCTCTCCATGTGCTCCTCTGGTTTGGGTACCAGCTTATGCTGTCCTCAAACTGCATTAGAGGGTACCCCCTCTTCTGTTTCTGGAGGAGCCTGTATAAGGCCAGTGCCGTCTCCTCCACAGCTGTGTGACCAGAGTCACTGGTGACGCTCACAGGACCTGGAGTCTCTCTGTTAGATGGTTATGGAAATTGAAGCCCATCTTTTTACTGCATACAGAGTATTCAGACTTCCTAATTATTCATGTTTCAATGTCGGTGATTTTTTGTGTTATTTCTAAAAACATCCATTTCATCTAAATTGCTGAATTATTAACATACACTTGTACACAATATACAGATACTCTTCAGCTTACAATGGAGTTTCATCCTGATAAACCCCATCATAAGTTGAAAAAAATTGTAAGTCGAAAACGCATTTACTACACCTAACCTACCGAGCATCATAGCTTAGCTGAGCCCCCCTTAAACGTGTTCAGAACACAATATCCGAAAGCACTGGCACACAGAGCCCTGCCAGTGCAGGAGTGACCCCCACTATCGCCCCGCCGCCCAGCACCACCAGAGCAGCAAACTGCATGTTGCTAGCCTGGGAAAGTTCACAACTCGGAATTCAGAGCACCATTTCTAAGGAATGCAAATTGCTTTAGCACCATCATAAAGTTGAAAAATCATAAGTCGACCCAACATAAGTCGGGACCGTCTGTACTCATTCCTTCCAGCTGTGGGATGGGCAGTGATAAGCCTCCTTGATGCTGGCAACTTGTATCCTCTGTCTTTTCTTGATCAGCCTGCTAGGGGTATGTAGTTTTGCTTTTTTGGTTTTTTTCAAGAAATCAGCTTCTGCCTTGGTAATTTTCACTATTTTTTTTGTCTTTTTTTTTTAATTGAGGTATAACTGACATAAAACTCTATTCATTTCAGGTGGAAAACATAATGATTCCACATTTGTATATATTACGAAATAGTCACCACAATAAATCTAGTTAATAACCATCACCCACATAGTTACAATTTTTTTCTTGTGATGAGGACTTTGAAGATCTGCTCTCTTAGCAACTTTCAAATATGCAACACAGTGTCATTAATTGTCTTCACCGTGCTGTAGCTTACATCCTCAGGACTTGTTTTTTTCTTTTTTCTTTATTTCTTCTCTTATCTTTATTATCTCCTTCCTGGTTCCTTTCCGTTTTTCTGTAATCTTTTATTTCTCTGCCTTGTTGAGGTGGAATCTTACCTCACTGAACTTTAGATATTTCTTTTTTTCCCACAGAAACATTCACAGCTATGAATGTCCCGCTGAGCCCTGCGTTAGCTGCATCCCAGAAATCTTATGTTCTATTTTCCTTCCCACTCTATTTTAAGTATTTTCTGAATTCCCTTGTGATTTCTTCTTTATTTCATGAATTAATTATTTAAAAGAAGTGTGTCATTTTATTTCCAGTTATTTGTGATTTTCCTAGCTATATTATTGTTATTAATTTCTAATTTAATTTAATTATGGTCAGAGAAGACACTCTGCATGATTTCAGTGCTTTTAAGTCTATTGAGACTTGTTTTCTGGAGCACCACATCATCCGTCTTGATGAACAGACCACGTGTGCTTGAAAAGAATGACTGCTACGCAATTGTTGGTTGCGATGTCCTAGGAAGCACAATTAGGGACAAATAATGTTGCTCTGTTTATTTACTGACCTTTTTTGACTACTTGTTCTATCGATTGCTGTGGGAGAATAGTTAAAACCACCAACTACGATGTTTGAAATGCCTATTTATCCCTTTAACTTGGTCCATTTTGCTTCCCAGGTTTTGAATCTTTTCTTGAGCACTCACACATTCGCGGTGGCAGTGTTTTCTTGCAAACTAACACTGACGTCGTTATGAAGTGCCCCTTCGTCTTTTTCTCTTAAAGTTTGTTCTGTCTGCTGTTAATGTAGATACTCCAGCCTGCGTGGCTCCAGGGTTGTGTGGATTGTTTCTTCTGTCCATTAACTTTCCACCTCTCTGTGTCTTTATATTTTCAATGTTTCTTTTGTAAACTGTCTATGACTTGCTTTCTTTTTTTTTTTTTAAGATTTTTATTGGAGAATTGGGGGGATGGGAACAGTGCTGGGGAATTGGGGGAAGGGGAACAGACAAGTTGCTGTCCTTTTGTTCTTCAGTCTAGTTGTGGAGGACGTTGCTTCACTGGCCCAAGTTGGCACCATCATTGCGCTCTTCCCTGGCGAGGCAGATCAGTCGCCGGCTTCTGGACGGCCGCTCACTGCAGCTGCTGGCCGCTCACGCTGGCTCCTGGCTACACACGGTAGCCCATGGCAACCCACTGCCACAGGGGCTGCAGCCTCCGCTGTCTCCGTCGCCAGCGACTCACAGCTGTCACTGGCCCTCATATGTGGGATCCGAACCGGGGCCCTCTGGTGTCCCAAGCCAGCTCTTAACCAACGCGCCACTTGGCCGGCCTTATGACTTGCTTTCTGTTGTTAATCAATTGATGGTCTCTGCCTTTGGAGTGTTTGGTCCATTAAAATTTAATGGAATTTTGATTTGGCTGGATTTAGGTCTCCATTTTACTATTTGTTTTCTGTTTTTACTTCTTTTTCTATTTTTCTTCTGTTCCTCCTTTTCTCTTTTATTTCCTTCTTTTGGATTATTTTAATCGTTTTTAAAATTTCATTTTAATTTATCTCTTAGCTTTTGCCTATTTAGTGTGTGTGTGATTGCTTTAGGGATTAAAATCCACAGCATTTTCACAGTTTATTTAGTGTGAAAATTCTACTATTACTATTCCATGTAAAATATATTAGAAACCATGCAACTGTATGGGGCCATTCCCCCCCTACCGTCCTTATGCGACAGATGCCGTACATATTACCCCTGCGTGTATGATAAACTCCACAAGGCAGAGCTAATACTCTTTCTTTAAACTGTCATATATATTTTAAAGTTAAGAGGAAACAACACCTTTATATTTGCCCTAATATTCAGCTTTCCAATGTGCTTTCTTCCCTTACTCCTAGTGTCTGTCAGCTTGAAGGACCCCATGTAGCATTTCTTGGAGTGCAGATCAGCTGATGGCAACTCTCTAAGTTTTATTTCTGTTAGAACATGTCTTTATTTCTCTTTTATTCTAAAGGATGTGTTCTCTGGTTATAGACTTCCGGGAGGCAGAGCCCCCAGGGGTCACTGAAAGTCATGTTAGGCAGGGTCATCCTCTCCCACCCAAAGCCCTGAGACCCATGTGATCCTTCTTGTTGGGGACAGGCATTGGGGCGTGGCCAGAGCCATCTCTGCGGGGTTACAACAGCCAGCAAACTGGGAGTGAGGGGAGGGCACGAGGAAGATGTGGGGCGGGGAGAGGGGGGTGAGGGGAGGCCAGGCGCTGGCAGGGGCTCCCTGGTCAGTTGGGCTGGGGCTGCCTCTTACTGACCGCTGCTTCTTGGCCAGGACCCCTTAGCCGCGATGTCCCCCCTTTGCCCCGAATGTGGCACTGTCCTTGGGGGACCCAGTTGCGTTCAAAGGGCAGTGAGTGGCCTCCCTCTCACCGGCAGGTTCTACCTCATCAGTGGAGGGGTTCCTTTCATCATCTGTGGAGTCACAGCTGCCACAAACATCCGGAACTATGGGACAGAGGACAAAGACTCAGCATAGTGAGTACAGGCGCTGAGGGGGCGGGGACAGCCATCAGCAAGGCTCCTGCCCAGGAGGGCCCCCCTGGGACCAGTGCCCTTGCTGTGGGGTGTCTAGCGGTACCACCTCCACTCATCACAGCCGCTGGTGGATGACGGACTGAAACGGCCCTGGAACGAGGCCAGGCCCTGCGGAGACCATGCAGAGACTGTGCTCCCTGCTGCTTTCCTTGAGTGCCATGGGCTGGTTTTCTGGAGATGGGAAGGGTCTGGGGGACCAATATCCCCGGGGCAGCGCTGCCAAGGCCAGCAGAGTGTGGACCTAGCCACACGCAGGAGCTGCGACAGACCCGGCAAACCCTCCCCATCCTATCCGAGCCTGGGGACCTCACTGCCCTCCTCACTGTCATCCCCTCTATAGGACGCCCACCCCCAGCTCTGCGGGCGCCCGTGCCCCATGACGCTCCCCCGGGCCCCCTCCTGACTGCCAGCCTCCAGAACAACCTGAGTGCATCAGACCGTCCCCTGGCAGGCTGGTGGAGGCCCCTCGTCATCAGCTGAGCCTGCCCCGATGGGCTTCCCAGGCCACATCTGACCATGAGGCCATCTGTGGGCTACACCTGGCAGTGACTTCCATGGGCACCTCAGGGTCCAGGGCGTGCACAGTCACCACTGAGCTCTCTCCCCACAGCCGACCCCGGCTGCCCTTTGCAACAGAGGCCAGTCAGGCCTCCACATTCACACCCGTGTCGTGCCGGGCTCAGGCCATAGCACAGCCCTTGGGACCCTTGAGCTGCGCCTCCCACCCTCCCAGCACCCTCACCGCTCTCTTTTCTCCCTCTGTCCCTCCAAAAGGCCAAGCCCACAGGGCACGCTGGCCCTGTGCCGTCCAGGGCACGCAGTCTCGCTGAAAAAGGTGAAAGACAACAGAGGCCTGAGAAAAGCATCAAAGAGGGATAGGCAGATGGTGGACCGTGGGCCTGGCCCCACCGGTGCTCCCCACAACACCCCAAGCTCCCCCACGCTGCCTGGTCACTCAGATGCCAGTGCCTGGGCGGGCCGGGCTCTGTCCTGCATCACGCTAGCGTCCTGTGTTTGCGTCCGTGTCCTTGTCACACAAGTATACTCAGTCACTGTGGAAAACATCTTTGTCCCGATGAGCTTGGGAGACAGTGACCCCTCGTTCCGCTGGGCGCTCTGCCCAGTGAGACTCGCGCTGACCCTCTCTCCTTCCGCAGCTGCTGGATGGCCTGGGAGCCCAGCCTGGGAGCGTTCTACGGGCCGGCGGCCTTCATCACCCTGGTCACCTGTGTGTACTTCCTGGGCACCTACGTCCAGCTGAGGCGTCACCCGGAGCGCAGGTACGAGCTCAGGGAGCGGACGGAGGAGCAGCAGCAGCTGGCGGGGCCGGAGGCCGGCCCCAGCCCCAGGGCCCCGTCGGGCGTGCCACCCAGCTGCGACGCCCTGGCCGCCTGCCTGCTGCAGAATGAGCACCCGTTCCAGGCCCAGCTGAGGGCTGCCGCCTTCACGCTGTTCCTGTTCACGGCCACGTGGACCTTCGGGGCCCTGGCCGTGTCCCAGGGCCACTTCCTGGACATGGTCTTCAGCTGCCTGTACGGCGCCTTCTGTGTGACGCTGGGGCTCTTTGTGCTCATCCACCACTGCGCCAAACGGGACGACGTGTGGCACTGCTGGTGGTCCTGCTGCCCCTCCCGCGGGGACGCCCACCCGGCCCTCGACGCCAATGGGGACGCCCTGGGGCCTGCGACCTGCCTGCAGGACTCGCCATGTCCCGGCAAGCCGAGGGGCTTTGCCCACCCACCGGCTGGCCACTGCAAGATGACCAACCTGCAGGCCACCCAGAGCCACGTCAGCTGCCTGTCGCCGGCCACGCCCTGCTGCGCCAAAATGCACTGCGAGCAGCTGGCAGAGGACGCAGCCCACATCCACGTGCATGAGGATGCCTTTGGGCATGGCCCGCCCCTGCACAGCTGCCTCCAGGGCAGAACTAAGCCTCACCACTTCGGCCGACTCCGGGCGGCCCCCGCCGAGCAGGAGTACGCCTACCACATCCCATCCAGCCTGGACGGCAGCCCCCACAGCTCGTGCACGGACAGCCCCACCAGCTCGCTCGAGGGCCCAGCGGGGGTGCACGCGCTGGCCTGCTGTGCCCAGGGCGACCCCTTCCCCTTGGTCAGCCAGCCCGAAGGCGGCAGCGCCAGCCCCACGCTCTACGGCTGCCCGTTGCGGCTGGGCAGGGAGGCGGCCCACGGCCCCGCCCACTTCGAGATGCTCCGAAGGACACAGTCCCTGCCCTTTGGTGGCCCCGGCCAGAACGGGCGGCTCAAGGACGACGAGCACGACGCCCTGCCTTACGGTGCCGACAGCACGGGCAACATCCGAACGGGGCCCTGGAGGAACGAGACGGCCGTGTAGCCGGCCCCCCGCCACCCGCCCCTGGACGAGCTTCAGAGCAGAGCGGGGCCCCTCTGCCATGTGAGGCCGGGGGTCACCAAGTGACAGAACCTCTCAAAAGTAGCTGGCATCCCCACTGACCCCTCGCTGTGAAGGACTTGACTGGGAAGACAGTTTGGGACATGTCACCACCGTTAATCCCAAGGTCAGATGAGCCATTCACGTCTGCTGGCACCACTCTCCACCCTCAGCATCCAGTGCCTGGGCAGCCCAGCAACGGGGCAGGGCTCGACCAGGGCACTGCCCTCAGTGCCCACCCACGGCGGGCCTGGCCACACCGGAGGCACCGCCAGTATCTTCTGTGTTCAGCGTGTGTGTTCAGTTCTGCTCCGAGGGGCGGCAGCCTCCAGCCAGCCCAGTGTGCTCTGGACCAGGGCCGTCGCCACCGGCCGCTCTGTTCGCAGGGACCCACGTCAGCTCCTCTGCCTGGCACCGTCTCCGCCTTCTGCCCCCGTCCTGCAGGCCTGCGAGCATCACAGATGCTGGGGCAGCAGCCTGACTGGCAGCTTTCAGAGCGCTGACTGGGGCCTCAGAGCCGGCGCTTGCAGATGCCCAGACGCCCTTCAATGGAGATTCGACTGCCAAAGCCCCTGTCAGGACTGAATCTCACCCCAACATGGGCATTCGGGAAAAAAGAGGAGGCGCTTGCATTTCCATGAACATCTGGGCACCACGCCCTGACTCAGAGGACAGAGGTGACCCATCCCACGGGTGGGGGTCAGTGGGTCCCCACGGAGGCAGAACCCCGGACACCCAGAGGGATGCGACGTGCATGTGAGACCGTGTGCGGCCCTCCCTCACTCCTGCAGCTGTGATACTTGTGCAGACATGCACACGCACACATGTGTGCATCACACGCTCACACCCACACGTGCACAATGCAACACCACACATGTGCTCACGCGTGCACACACGTGGTGACACGTCACCACCACACGTGCGCACGGCACATCACACATGGGCAGAGCAGCGTGTTCTCCAGCGTCTGAGGGCTGGGTGTCCAGTGCTCTGCCTGGCTGCGTCCCTGGGGCGTGCCTCTGTGCTGCGCCATGTAGGTGGGGGGACATCACGAGGAGCAGGCCCCTCACACACCGGGAGGGGAGGGGAGTATGTCGGGCTCCCAGGGGCCCATGCTCAGTATCTGAGCACAGCCAGCCTCCCTTCCTGGGATCCGTGCAAATCTGACAGTGACGTTGTAACTTCCCGCAGTGTCTGTACCTGCTGCAAACCCCGTGTGTCCTCACAGGTCAGCCAGACGGGCACCCGGATGACCGCCGGCGGTTCCTGTCTCCTTCGCCTGCCTCTTCACCTGCTTCTGTAGCCGACACGGACCGGAGAGCTGACACCATGCTGTGTGCACTGTAGATGCATACCCGTCAGACGAAATACAGTGTTTTGCATTGTTCGCCCTTTGTGAGGCTGGTTAATGGCGTCCGTGTGCATCTCTCAGCCTGTGGGGGGGTGGCCCACCTTGGTGTGTGGCCCCCGCGTGTATGCCCACCGTCCCTGCCCTCGGCGGCCCTGGCAGAACAGAGAGCTCACCTCATTATTCAAACCAAAGAAAGTCCACACTAAACATTAAACCATGTGTGTTTCAATATTGATTCAGCCTCCTGAGTCCACTTGGGGACAGTGTGGTGACATGTCCCATTGGCATGTAATGTCTCCAGAGTATGAAAACCCACAGCATGACGGCAGTGCAGGAGCGAGCTTCCGGGAGGGTGTGCAGTGAGAGGTCGGAGCCAAGGTTGTCTGTGGCCTGACATTTTGTGTCACTTCCTTTGTGTATGTGTGACTATGTGTGGGTGGTGTGCTGTTAGAGCGCTTTGTGTGTGTGAGTGTGTGAGGGCATGCGTGAGCGTGCATGGGTGTGGTCTGAGTGTGTACACGCGTGCGCACATGTTTGCATAAGTGCTGTGTGAGTGTGCGTATACACAGTATTATGTGAGCATGTGAGAGGAAGTGTGTACAGATGAGTGTGCATGTGTGTTTGTGAGGTGTGCTCATGCATGATTGTGCTCACATGTGCTGCATGTCTGCACTGTGTGTGGGTTGTGTGGCCCTGTGCGTGTCTGAGTGTGGGTTGTACTGTGTGTGCACAAGTGTGTGTACGTGTGTGTGCACGCGTGTACGTGCTCTTCGCAGGGGGTCCTGTCTGCCGCAGCCTGCTGCGTGCTCCTGTCTAACTCACCAGGTGGAGACCTCGTGGTCACACCAGGACATGGTGACAGCTTTAATCAGCCTAAAGTACTCAAGAAACTTCTAGCCCAGGAAGCTTCCGTCATTCCCGAGTGCCGTGATGGCGTCTGGTCAGCGGGGCCCAGAGAGCCTGTGACTGAGGGCTCAGCATGGTTCGCAGGCTCTGCCAGGCAGTACTGCTGCACATAGTCAGACGAAAGGCGCCTCCGCCCGACCCGATTCCTCCAGGAGCCCGTTGGCCCATCTCTGGACCAGCCGCCCTTGGGGCTCTAGCAGCGAGGGGCCCTCCCATCTGCCTTGTGGATCAGGGCCCAGGGCCACCAGCCCTGCCCCTCGCCCCGATGCAACACGTCCTGCCTGGCCAGGACTCTAGGAGGTGCAGTCAAAGGAGCCGCCGTCCCCGAAGCCCCGCCTTGGGACCGAGGTCAGCTCAGCGGACATGAGCGCCAGGCTGTCGGGGGCGAAGGCCCAGGATCCTGCCTTCAAGGCAGCTGTCCTGGGGGCTCCTGCACCATGACAGGCTCTGCGCCACACGGCACTGGCGGCCGCAGTGACAGCAGCTGAGGGAGGCCTGTCCCCCCAGGCAGGGGACCCTAAGAGGAACACCACACCCTTGGCACTCAGGGCCTTGGGCAGGAGCGTGCCAGCCACGTGGTGAACAGGCCACACAGAGATGGTGGCTGCAGGGGGCACATCTGTCCCCACTCTGTGCCCACATTGCACCTGCGTCCTGCCACCTGCCCCCTGGCCTTGGTGTTTCTTGGGGTGGGGAAGCAGTTACTCTCGGGCCTCTGGCCTGCGCGGCACCTGCACCTCGCTCAGAGTGTTGTCCGTTGGATCCAAGATCAAAGCATGTTACCCAGCCCAAAAGTCAGGGAGGGTGACTAGTGGCCCTCATGGAGGCCAGCCCTGCCGCTACAGGGGTCAGTGTCCCCAGACGGTGGGGACAGAGGAACAGGGTAAGAGCCTCATGAGGACACAGGGGCCAGGGTGGGGGATGGGGCCCTGGGGAGGCAGAGATCGAGGGTAAAATCTTAGCGACGGCCATTCGGGAGGGCGGGCAGAACAGGAAGGGACATGAGAGAGAGCTTTGTCCCTCCGACATGAACCACAGTCACCACGTGGCCACTCCTGGGACAGAAGCGTCCATCTCACAGTGAGACGGTCAACCTGCAGGCATGGGGGTCGGGGTCAGGATGACTCTGCTGTGCGGGCTGCTATGGGCCAGGAGGGAGGCGGCCTCCTGGGGGCTGTGGGCACGCAGACCCATGTGAGCACAGACACCTGGCACTGGGTTAAAGACGGAGCTTTCTGATCACGCTCCAGCTCATTCGGGGCCGCCCCTCCCTCACTCTGCACCCAGCCCAGGCCCCCTCATCGACACTCTCATGGAGCGGTGAACCCCCATCTTTCTCCAGCTCTCCAGTGTGAGAAGTCACATTTGGGTATTTGAGTGTTCCTGATCCAGGCGTGTTACAGAGCGGGGCGACTGGACGAAGGACCTGTGTCCGCAGTGACCCCATGGTCCCCACGCCCTGTAAAGAAGCACGCATCCAGAGTGAGTCCCCAGAAAGGCAGTGAGCTGGTGGCCTGGGGCAGTGGGGCCGAGCGCGAGTCCCCGGCCCTGCGTGTCACCTCTGGGAACCGTGAACCTGCTCACGCCCCGATTCTGTCACTCAGTTGCACATTTGTGTGACTGCGACAAAAAGCAGGTGGCAGATCAACGCGACCTCCTTGACTGACAGGAACTGCGCAGGTCTGGACGCTGTGGGAAAGCCACACCAGTTACTTGCACAGAGAGGATGGATGTGCTGGGAGCTGTGTGCTCAGACGTGGCGGGCTGGAAGGCAGACAGCACGGGGAGGGAACGGGGTGGGGCTGTTAGAACCTGGGGCCCAGACCTCTGAGGAGGGGGGTGGCCCCACTGGTGCTGTGGTCCTGAGGGAGGTACAATGAGGCTGGTTCCCAGAGTGGGGCTGGAAACAGACCCAACTACCAGCCTCCGCCCCAGGGAAGAACAGGGGAGATGGGGCCCCACCTACTTTCCAGCACCCCCCACGGAGAGCCAAGCAGGACAGGGACAAGCCAGGGTGTGCAGAAACAAAGCGACAGCCACAGAGTGACAGCCTCAGTGACAAGGCAGCTCTGGCCCCAGCAGCAGGCCAGGGGTCTGCCGTCTTGTGCATTTGTCCCCATTGCTCAGAGGAACACGGTCACTTATTTGCCCAAGACTCTGATAATGTAACATGAGTCTAATGGTAAAAAAAATGTATTTATTAAAACTTACACGTGTACTTGTTGCCAAAAATAGTGGTGGGGAACCTACAGAAACTTTCAAGCATAAAAATATGTCACAGTAGACAAGTTCTGGGCAAAATTCAATGACTTTAATGAGTTTAATGAACAAATGTTATGATGAAGATTTCTGACTGTTAAAGGAAACGTGCTGATTTTTTGTAACGGCTGATGGTGGGCATCACACCACTTGGGCATTTAGCTTTGTGGGTACATTTACAAGAGTGACTGACAACGTTATTTCAAAATGTCGATATTTACACCACAGCAGATATGACATGACACTCATTGCAATTATTTACATTTTTATGTTTATTTTTTAATGTAGATGTCGACTTCAAAATGTGCAAGTGGTTTTACAGCCTTTCAAAATTCTCCCGAGCCGAGACTTGGAAGACCCGCTCAGCGCAGGGAGCCCCATCTGGCGAGAGACGGCCTCGGAAGCGTAAGACCAAGTCCTGATGGTGTCTGAGTGTGACAAAGGCCAGAGACCAGCAGTGAGCAGACTGCAGGAGAACGTGTGCGTTGGGGGCCCCCTGCCCTGGGCGCTGAGCAGGAGGGAGATCGGGGAGGGCAGCTGGAACCCCTCCTTCTGCGTCCCTGTGTGGTGCCCACAGAGAGAGCTCAGGGGCAGCAAGGCGGCCGCACTGCTGGGAGAGGCCCTTCCTCGGCTCCTGCGGCCTCCAGCGCAGCCCGCCCACCCTGCTGCTGCTCCGGTTTCCAAACGCCCCGGATGGCGGAGGCTGCAGGGATTTCCTCTTCGGTTGAGTGGGGTGGGCCCAAGGTGAGGCTGCCCGGCACCCACCCGGCTGCCAGCCTGAGGCCTCACTGCCCATCTGCTTCTCTGGTGACGCGGGAGCCCCTCACATCCTTGGGTGTCACATCCCCGGGCCAGGGGCCACAGCGACCTGACCCAAGGACACGCCATTAGGAATTCGTGTCCCTGCCTCCTGCACCCTGGGACTTGGAGGAGCCTGTCACGAGCCCCGCCTCCTGCCACAGCAGCTGATGGGATGCCCGCCGTGAGCCTGGCCGGAGAGGCTGTGGGGACAGGGCTGGCTGGGGTGCAGGGCGCCCGAGCGCACCAGCGTGGTGAGCCCATCGGAGCATTACCATTACCCTGCGGGCCTCCCGGCTCCTCGTCGGGCGGGAGTGGGGGCGGGCTGCTGCCGGACCACAGGTCCCAGCTCGGGCCAAGGCTCACGCGGGTGCTGACCACAGCCCTGCTAACGGACCCCAGCGGGGCAGCGAAGGGCTGACTTGCTAGCCAGCTGCCGAAACAGGGGAGGTTGTGTGGCCTTCGGGCTTCTGCTCCGCACCCAGAAGCCTGGCCGGCAAGGTGCGGGTGAGGCTGTCACTGCTGGTCCCCACATAGCGTCGGCGGGACCCTGACTCCAGCAGGGGGACAGGCCAAGCAACAGCGTCTCAGGCCGGGCCCACCCCGGGCAGCCCCGCCCGGCAGCCTGGGAGCCTCTGCAGCCGCCACCCCCGCGGGGACTGCGGCAGCCCCGTCCCAAGGCCGGCGGGCGGGGGCGGGGACCCGGTAGAGGGTCGGGGACCCGCCCGGCGCCCTCCCTGGGGTTGGCCAATGCCCTGCCTCTGCGTGCGCCCAAGTGGACGCGATCCCGGCAGCGGCCTGCGGCTCCTCTCGGAACACCGGGCACACGCCTGGCCCCGCCCCCAAACGGCGCGGGCCCCTCACAGGCCGCCCCCTCCCGCGCTGGGCACCCCCCCCCCCGGAAAGCGGCCGACGTCCCGGGCGGACCCAAGCGCCAGCCAAAGCGAGCGCGGCCTTGCCAGCGCCAGGATCCCCCGGTTCCGCCCCAGGT